ACTTCCAGGTCAGAGAGTTTTTCCTCTATCATTTAAACAGGTACTTGCTGAGATCATTGCTGTTTTCAGGAGCGCACCCCCGCCCAAGATTTGAGCAGAGCCTCTGGTGTCCATTCATTCATTCACTCACTCATTCATTCACTGACTTCCATGAGGCATCTTCTCTGGGCCAGTCCTATTCTGATACAGAGATGCAAATCTGACTGTGACACGATCTGTTGCCTTCTTAGACCTCACAGACAATGAATGAGAAACTCCTGGCATTCTGGGGTATACCATGCAAGGTTTTCACACTCCTTAAGCCCATGCAGAGGCCTGAAGACAAGAAGCAGCCAGATGCTGGAGGGGAGCGAACTCCAAGCTAGTGGCCGAGCCCGGCCTGCCGCCAGAGCTGCCGGCCATCGGTCCCCATCCTCTAGGCTCTCAGGCAGTGACTCCTTTAAGGATCTCAAGGTCATTTCTATCTTTCCATTATGCAGGATGTTTCCTGTGGGAGAAAATGGTTCCTGGCACACAGGACTTTGTGTGATTCAAGAAAATTTGAGAGTATGTGCATGTTTTAGGGAGAGTCCAAGGCTTTCTTGAGATACTGTCAGGACCACAATGCAAAAAAAAAAGTTTAAAAACACTGATTTTGCCATATTTACACATTTAGGGATAAATAAATAGTGTACAAACTGTCTAAAGTAATACGATAGAGTAACTCACACTTACATTGCACCCCCTGTTGCCGACACTTACTCGAAGCACTTTGTGGACACGAATTTGCTGACTTCTCATGACAAGCCTGAGACTTGGAAAAATTATCGCCCTCAGCTTACAGAGGAGAAGCAGAGGAAGTGACGCAGCTGGTGGTGGGGTGGGGACTGAGCCCCCACAGTCCCTGCTCTTCACCAGTGCAAGAAGCCAGGAGGAAAGAAGGAAACACAGTGGAACCAGAGGTGGAGCCCAGCACATTTGGGGATGCCCGGTCCCCTCACGTCTGCCTTTCCAATTAGTGATTGTTCCTGATTTGGCAGGAGAGGAAAGTGGGTTTCAGAGAGGTGGAGTGAGGTTCACCAGCTCAGCAGCAGCACCGTCTAGCTGACTTCAAAGCCCCGCTCCGTCCAGAGCATTGCAGGGACAGGGTCCAGGAGCCAAAGGGCAGTCGCCATGTGTTCACACTGGGGTCAGGACGCCTGTCCTTCCAGCTGTCCCAAGCACACGCTGTCTCCTGCAATCTGCTGCATTGGGCTCTAACTCACTGCAGAAGCCAGACTAAGAAAGCAAAACCCAAATTGCTGACTCTGGAAAGGGAATAATTGATTTTCACACTCACGAACCGGTAACCACCTTGCCTTCATTCATTTACTCGGTGACTATTGATGGAGCACCTCCTGTGTGCCACACGTGTTCTAGTAAGTTGGTTGCAGCTGAGGACAAAACCAGAGCTGATATTCTAGAGGAATGGCAGATTCGTCCAAGCAGATTTGTCCAAGGAACATGGGCTTCAGTCTAACTCTGGAATCTGAGCTAGCAACTTCTCTGGGCTTTCGTTTTCTTATCTGTGAAATGGGATAAGGACAGTCCTGCTGGGGACGTGTGTGCATGTGTGTGGTGAGAGAGGAGATGCAAGTGGGTAATAGCTCTCGCTCTCACCGGGCACGGCAAGTTCCTCTCTTGCCCTGGCGTTGATGCATTTCTGTCATGTGAACTTGGACACACCCCTGAATTTCTCAGAGCCCAACGACAGGCTGGGATGCAGACCCCAGGCCAACTGTGCTTCTAGCTTCCCTACCATTCTGCTCTGCCCAGCTCCGGGCTCGCAGGCCAAACTTGCTGCTCAAGTCAAAGCCCCAAGCACCTGGAGACACATTCAGAAAAACCCACTAGAGGAAGCCTGAATGTCAAGGGCATCTCATTCAGGACACCGAGGGCCACGTCGCTTCCTTCCCCATTGGGCTTAAGAAACAGCCACATGTCACCCACATATTCAACTGCCCCGGAATGGTCCCAGGGTGCCCAGGCTCACCGACCACTGCACGTAAAGCAGCTTCAAGATCCAAAATTAAAAAGGAAGTGTGCAATTGGATTCCTGGCCCACAGAGGGGTTTGCTCCCACCCTATGCCACCCTTGCCCCTGGATGCATTCTCCTTGAAGGCCGACACGTGGTCTCTCAGAGGGTTCCATCACTGAATCATGTACCTTTATTTTTTTATTTTTTTTAAGATTTTATTTATTTATTTGAGAGAGAGAATGAGATAGAGAGACAGCATGAGAGGGGGGAGGGTCAGAAGGAGAAGCAGACTCCCCGCTGAACAGGGAGCCCAATGCGGGACTCGATCCAGGGACTCCAGGATCATGACCTGAGCCGAAGGCAGTCGCTTAACCAACTGAGCCACCCAGGTGCCCCGAATCATGTACCTTTAAAGCTGGAAAGTTCCTGAGCAATCACATAGTCCAGGATTGACAACTGGAGTCCCAGAGCAGGATCCAGCCCCTCCTGATGGGTCCTGATGGCTGCAGAGAGCTAACCCTCTCCAGTCCCACATGCCTACCATTCCTCATTATGTCACCCTGGAAACAGTCTTCCCAGGTTTGTGAAGGCACTGAGGTTTGCTACCCCTGGTCTGGTCCATCTCTTCATTTTATGAGAGGTGGTGGGGGATGGGTTGGGGGGCATGACAAACCCAGAGAAGGGAATAGATGTGTCTGAGTTCACATGGCCAATGAGGGGCAATGTGGAGACCACATCCACTAACAGGCCCCCTGGGCCTCAGGGGGAAGCATGTGCCAGGCAAACCTTAGTGCATGACACAAACAGCAAGGGGTGAACTCTGTTGGAGTCCCCCCGGACGGAAGGGGAGTCATCTCCGGAGGGGTTGAGCCAGCTTTCGGTGAAGTTTCTCTGTGTTGAGACTCCACGCTGAACCCATAGGTCTGTTCATTAATAATTACCTAATAGGGGAGGTGGTAGGTGGTGCTGGTGGTGCTGAGAAGTTCTGCCAACCTTCCTGGGCTTGATAAATCCAGGCCATGTTCCTGGGTTCCTCTAGCGCTCAGACACCTGCCCGGGGGACCATACCAGGACCGACCGTGAGTAACTCTCTGAGGGCCGCAATTGAGACTTGAAAGGGAGGGTGACCAATCTTCTAGTTTGCCCAGGACTGGGAGTTCTGCAACATAAGACTTTCAGTGCTAAGACTAGGAAAGACCTAGAGGTGACACATCCTAAGGCTGGAAAGACCCTACACATGACTGCATCAACCTTCTCATCACACCAGTGGGGGACCTGGTGTCCAGGCCCAGAAACAGCCTCCCACAAGGCCACACATGACTTAGGACCCAGGTCTTCTGGCTCCTGATCCAGGTGCTTCTGGAGGGTGCCTGACAGAGGGGAATTCTGGGTAACTCGCTGCAAAGTCAGAGAGAAATATGCATGTGAGGGTTAGGGCGGGAGACGGTATTATAGCTTGGTAGGAAGCCATGCTTTGGGGACTGGCGTTAAGTTGGTGAGTGAAGTGGACACTCCAACTCCGGGGTAGAAAATAGAATAGAGGGGAGCCTGGGTGGCTCAGTCGTTAGGCGTCTGCCTTCAGCTCAGGTCATGATCCCAGGGTTCTGGGATCCAGCCCTGCATTGGGCTCCCTGCTCCGTGGGGAGCCTGCTTCTCGCTCTCCCACTCCCCCTGCTTGTGTTTCTGCTCTCGCTGTGTCTCTCTGTCAAATAAACAAACAAAATCTTTAAAAACAAGAAAAGAAGAGAAAGTAGAAAGACCAGGTAGGAAACAACAGTGGTCTAAGTCAGGGCTCGGCAAACAGCGGCCTATGGGTCAAATCTGGCCCACTGCCTATTTTTGTCTTGCCCCTGAGCTAAGAATGCAAGATATAACATAAATATAAGATATAAATATAAGTACAAAATTCGTAAATGGTTGAAAAAAATCAAAAGGAGGACAATATTTTGTGACCTATGAAAAGTATATGAAATTCATATTTCATTGTCCATAAATAAAGTTTCACCAGAACCCAGCCACACACAAGCCTGCTTTGTGGGTGGCCACTTTCCAGCCAACACAGCCAAGTTGGGCAGCTGCAACATGACCATATGGCCCACAGAGCCAAAGATGTTTACTCTCTGACCGTTTGCAGGAAAGGTTTTCTGACCCGTGGTCCGGGTGAACGACACTGGAGGCCTGAGTGAGGGTCATGGCAGTGGAGAGGCTCGGGGGTTGAGGAAAGAGCCTTCCAGACATGCAGAAAGATAGAATGAGTTAAGGGGATGGAAGGCCAGACACAGGTTAAGGATGACAACCAGAGAGTAATGGTAGATCCATTTGATGCAACAGAGCAGATCTGGTGAAGAAAAGAGAACACCCTATTTTGGGCAAGTTAAGTTTACTAGGAAAAGAGACCCATCCTTTTCCTGGGACTTTGGGCAGATCAGTTTTTGAATGTCAGTGATAGTGTCTGTATGGAGCGTTGGTAGGAATGCCAGTTCTACTGACCTCTACCTAGGTAAGAGGCTCAAACAAAATGACATTAAAATGATGTTGTAAACTGTAAAGCATACCATGGATGTCGGTGGGGTAGATGCTACAGTAACCTTGGGTCACTTGGCTGAGGGAATAAACATGAAAGGTAAAAAGAGCCCCAGGCTGAGTCTGGAGACTTTGTGCCCTAGCTCAGATACTTACCAGTTAGGTGACCTGATTAAGTCATTTTTGGAGTCTCTGGGATGAGAAAGGAGGCCGGTGCCTCGCAGAGCTCAGAAAGATAGAAATGCAGGTAGGTGGGGGCACGAGTGTGCTTTGTTCATTTAAAGCGCTGCCACAGAATATCATCTTCACCACACGTTGGGAAGGTGCTGGGTGTTTTGCTAGACTGCCACAGGCCCATCTGCAAGAGTTCATGGTGTCACTTATCACCCTGGGGCCCTGGCCTTGCCCGACTTCTCAGTAGGGTTGGGTGATCTGCTGGGGAATTGCCTAGGCACTCTCTTTCCTCCTATAGCTGTGAGAGTGCAGAAGATGCATCTTGCCAACCACCTGCTCCTCCTTCTGGTCGGACTGCTGGTCCTTTCTCATGGGCAGCTGTACCCTGAGCACTATAGCCAGGGTCACACTGGCAGCCCCCATCAGGAGGCTCTAAGCACAGGTGAGGGCTCCCCCAGCCTCAAGATTGCCCCAGGGAATACAGCCTTTGCTCTCCACTTCTACCACCTGATGGCTTCCCAAAGTCCTGGCAGCAACATCTTCTTTTCCCCACTGAGCATCTCTGCCTCCTATGCCATGCTGTCCCTGGGGGCCCGCTCACACAGCCAGACCCAGATCCTTGAGGGTCTGGGCTTCAACCTCACGGAGCTGTCCGAGCGCGACATCCACCAGGGCTTCCAGCACCTCCTGCACACTCTCCAGCTCCCGGGTGACGGGCTGGAGATGCACATAGGCAGTGCCCTGTTCCTGAGCCAGGACCTGCTGATCCTTCCGGAATTTCTTAACGACAGTGTGGCCTTCTATGAATCCAAACTCTTCCTCACCAACTTCCACAACTCTGTGGGCACCACCCAGCTCATCAATGACCACGTCAAGGAGGAAACTCAAGGGAAAATTGTGGATTTGGTCAGCCACCTGAGCACAGACATCACAATGGTGCTGGTGAATTACATTTACTTCAAAGGTAAGAGTTGGTTTGTTGGTGCATCCTCTATCTTCCCTCTCTTTCTGATTTATGGATGGATTAAATATTTAAAAAAGAGAAAGTGGATGGATGGGGTCAGAGAGGGTCAAGCAACCCTTAGAAAATTCATGTGAGAGCATCAAATATTTAAGATTGTGTAGTATTGAGGTTTCCTCATACCTTTAGACATATTTTCTTATTTATTTTCTTTGTAACAGTAAGGTATGAAACGCACAAATTGAAATGCTGGATTCATATCAAAGCTCTGTCACTTACCAACAATGTAAACAGGGTAGGTTGTTTGCTTGAAGTAAGGATAATAAGAGTCCCTCCTTCAGAGTTTTTATTTTTTTTATTTTTTATTTTTTTTAAAGATTTTATTTATTTATTTGACAGAGAGACACAGCGAGAAAGGGAACACAAGCAGGGGGAGTGGGAGAGGGAGAAGCAGGCTTCCCGCTGAGCAGGGTACCCGATGTGGGGCTCAATCCCAGGACCCTAGGATCACGACCTGAGCCAAAGGCAGATGCTTAACGACTGAGCCACCCAGGTGCCCCCAGAGTTTTATTTTGAGGATCAAATTATGTCACATTTTTGTGTGTACTCCTTAGAAGAGGGCCTAAAGGGATAGGCAAACTACCATCTCTAGCCACATCTGATGCGTTACCTGCTTTTGTCAATAAAGTTTTATTGGCACACAGCCATGCCCATTCATTTATGTATTGTCTCTGGCTGCTTTCACACAGCCAGAGATAAATAGTTGCTATAGAGCCTAAAATATTTGCTTTCTGGTCCTTTGCAAAAGAAGTTTGTTGACCTTTGACCATTATATATACTCAATAAATAATTAGAGTAATCGTAATTAATCTAATGATAACAATGCTCATTTCAAAGACCCTTGAAAACACATAAAGGAGGTGCCTGGGTGGCACAGTCGGTTAAGCGTCTGCCTTCAGTTCTGGTCATGACCCAGGGTCCTGGGATCGAGTCCTGCATTGGGCTTCCTGCTCAGTGGGGAGCCTGCTTCTCCCTCTCCTCCCTGCTCGTGCTCTCTCTCGCTATCTCTGTCGCTATCTCTGTCTCTCTCAAATAAATAACTAAAATCTTTAAAAATAAAAAAAATTTAAAAACCACATAAAGGTATAAAAGAGAAATAGAAATTACCCATAATCCGCGCCTGGGTGGCTCAGTCGTTAAGCGTCTGCCTTCGGCTCAGGTCATGATCCCAGGGTCCTGGGATCGAGTCCCACATCGGGCTCCCTGCTCTGTGGGAAGCCTGCTTCTCCCTCTCCCACTCTCCCTGCTTGTTTTCCTGCTCTTGCTATGTCTCTCTCTGTCAAAAAAATAAATAAAATCTTTAAAAAAAAATAAAAAATAAAAAAAAAAGAAATTACCCATAATCCTACCACCCTGAGGCAACCAGTGTTAACATTTTCACCTAATTCATTCCAGTCTTCTATTCACACACATATATTAACAGTTGAAATCACAGTGTGGGGACAGATTCGTACAGTGTGTATCATCAGTGTTCCATCAGAGGAGAAAGGGGATTGCTATAGGAATTGGACCTTGCACAATTGTGTGCAAGTGAAGGCCTGGAGGAAATAGGGTTGGAGGGACAGAGTGAAGTCCTTGGTGCAGGTGAAAGTTTGGAACTTATTAGGGATCTATATGCCAGGCACATCCAGCCACGACAGTGGGTCCATGTAGGGGGAGCTTGTGGAGAGGCCCATGCTGGGCACCCAGTGGCAGCTTAGGGACACATTGGTCTGGAGGGCTAATGTTGGACAATGAACTTGGAGGTCAGCATGGATGACCTGGAGCACCACTAGGTCTCCATCTAGGGCTCCACTAAGTCTGTCCATCATTTCATCTTCCTTCCTGAGAAGACCTTCAGCGTGTGGTAGTTGTTTCACATCTACCTCCCAGTCTCACACTTGTAACCACCTTGAACCCAGAATCTATAGGGAACAGATTCTGGGAAACAGTCCCAGACTAACAATCCAGCCAAATTGGTCATCACTTGCATTTTACACATGGAATTATTCATGCACCACTGAAAACTTTTTCAAAAACATTTTTAATTCTGCAATGACCATAAACTTATAGGAAGTTGCAGAAATAGTACAGAGAGATCCTGTGTACCTTTCATCCAGTTTAAATAACATCTTACATAACTGTCATACAAAAGCAAAACCAGGAAATTGACATTGGTGCAATCTACAGACTTTATTCAGATTTACCAGGTTTTACATGCATGTGTGTGTGTGTGTGTGTGTGTAGCTTTATGCTATTGAAAACTTTATTTAGATCTCACTTTAATGGCTACACAATATTCTACAAGCCATTCCTTTTGAAATATAATTTAAATGTATAGTATATACCATTATCTTACCCAAAGCCCTGACCATAAAGAAGGGTTTGGGTGCTCTCTTCCTGAAAGAGACCTAGCTCCAGCTGGGTTAGTGTTGTTAGCCTGAGAATGAGAGGTTCTCCAGAAATAGGAAGGGGATAGAGACATCCTGCCCTCTGACACATCTGCCCAACCCTTTGGGATGTAAATTTAGCCCCAGGCCTCACTGTGGGTTACATGGTGAGAGAGTGGAACTATTGTGGCTTACCTTCAAAACTGAAAAGTACCTAGAAGAAAACAAACAAAAGATTCACAGGATCTCTGTAGATAAGATTATCTTGAGAGATATTAAAGTAGACTTAAAATTTTAAAAATACAGATATACTATGTTCATGAAAAGGAATACTTAATATGTAAAGATATAAATTCTCTCATGAATTAATCTAAATATTTAATGCAATCCCAATCAAAATCCTAACAGGTTTTTTCATCCTTTTTGGTGGCAGTTAACAAGCTGATTCTAAAATGTATATGGGGTGCAAAAGGCCAAGAATAGTTAAGATGGGAAAACTTGCTTGCCAGAGCGTGAGACTTATCATAAATCTATATTAATTTAGGCTGTGTAGTACAAATAGACAAATGGGACAGAATAGTGAGGCCAGAATAGAGCCCAGAAATGACCCCATGGAGAGATACATGGACATTTGATATTTGTCAAAGCTGGCATTCCCCCCTCACCACCATGATGGAGCATTGGGGAAAGAGTGGATTTTAAAAAATGGTGCTGGGACAACTAGGTACCCACAAGGGGAACAAAATGGGTTTGGACCCCTCCTTTCAACCAATAATAAGCATTTATTCTAGGTGGAGTATAGTCCTTTTTGCAAAAGGGAAGACTAAAGCTTCTAGAATATCATATAGGAGAGTATCTTCATGACCTTGAAGGGAAAGTTGTCCTAAACAAGACACAGAACACCTAACCACAAAGGAAAAGACTAATATATTCACTGCATTACGGTTAAGAATTTCAATCACCAGAACACACCACTAATAGAGTGAAAAGGCAAGTCAGAGAGAGAGACAAGGGATTTGCAACTCACACAACTGATAGACAACTAGTGTTCAGAAAGAACTCCTGCAAATCACTAAGAAACAACCCTACACAAATACAGGGGAGAAACATGAACTGGCGCTGACATTTTTTTTAAAAAAAAGGACGTTTAGCTGGTCAATAAACATACAAAAGACTGCTCAACCTCATTTTTAACAAAGAAAGTACACTACAAAGTTGTAACAAGCTACCACTACATAAATATCAGGTTGGCAAAAAAAATGTAAGTGCAGCAATGTAGATTAAATGGTGAAGACATGGGGCACCTGGGTGGCTCAGTTGGTTAAATGTCTGACTCTTGGTTTCAGCTCAGGTCATGATCTCAGAGTCATGGGATGGAGCCCCGTGTCCGGTTCCACGTTCAGTGCGGAGTCTGCTTGATTCTTTCTCTGTCTCCCTCCCCTTCTGTCCCTCCCTGCTCACTCTCTCTCTCTCTCTCTAAAGCAAATAAATAAAATCTGTTTAAAAAATGGTGGAGACATGAAACAATGTTGCTGATACCCTCTTGTATCTCACATTTTAGAATCTAAATGAGCCCTGAGAGATCCATTTCTTAGGCAGGTCAAAGTTTGAAGGATCTAAATGGTACACCGTGATGGAATAGTAAGTTGTGCGTCTCCACGACTGTAGGAGAGGCATTCCCTGGCTGGACGGTTGGCTTGTTGGTCTACAGGTGCCCTGTGCCTTCTTTCCTTCTTCCCTTCAGCTCTGTGGGAGAAACCATTCATTCCCTCGATGACCACTTCCCAAGACTTCTATGTTGATGAGACTACAGTAGTCAAGGTGCCTATGATGCTGCAGGACACGCAGCACCACTGGTATCTTCACGACAGATTCTTGCCCTGCTCGGTGCTGCGGATGGATTACCAAGGAAACATGACGGCCTTTTTCATCCTTCCTGATCAAGGGAAAATGAAGCAGGTGGAGGAGGTCTTGACTCCAGAGATGTTAACAAGGTGGAAGAACTTGCTTCAGAAGAGGTAATCAATGTGACCCGTTGTGCTGAATCTGCAAGATTGCCCTTCAAATGGACCCTTCTAAAAGGCCAGTGCCCCACATGGGGATGATTGCCAAATTATGAAAGCATTCTTATTTGCTTTAAGACTTTCCATGGGTTTCCTTAGATGATGGACTCTCCTGTTACATCTGAAATCTGATTTTGCCCCTATCAGTGAAAAGAGAACCAGACTAGGAGTTAAGAGTCCTGGTTCTAGATGTAGCCCTTACACTGCCCAAGACTTGGGTGAAGTGACATTGGCTCTCTGAGGGTCTGCCCAACTGTGCAGTGAGTGGGTAGACCTCTGATCAATGTGCCTAGTATAGAAGGACTTGAAAAAAACTCCATACACCCATCCAAGGAAGTAGCAAGGAAGTTTCCTATCACCCTGGGGCTATGAGTGGGAAAAATTTCCAACCATAGATAAGGGTCTCAGCCTAAGGCCACAGGTGGATAGAAAATTCGCACAGCTCATGAGATAGAGGAATTCTAGCCAAAGAAATCATCTGGTCCCAAATAAGTGAAAACCATAGGACCCCAACAGAGGCGAAGGCAAAGCTACCACACAGGGAGACTCGTATCTCCCTGGGCACCTGGCATGTCCCCAGAAAGCCAGCTCTGTTGAAGATGAGCTCCCAAGGGAGGAGGTCCTGCAGACAGCAGTCTTGAGGGCAAAGGCGCCTGGCATTAAATTCCTGGGAGCACTGAAGCAAAGTCAGATGGAGTGAGTGGGGCCAGTTGAGAGGAGCACAGAGTGCTGGGGTCCCTCACTTGTCTAACCCCATGCTTCCTTCAGGTATTTTTATAAGAAGCTCAAGCTGCATTTCCCCAAGTTCTCCATTTCTGGCACCTATCAATTAGATCAGATTTTGCCCAAGATGGGCTTCATGGACCTGTTCTCGAAGCAGGTTGACCTGTCTGGCATCACCAAAGAGCGAAAACTGCAGGTGTCCAAGGTAAGTCATCCGTGGTCATCAGTGCCTGGAGACTTGGTGGGGAACTTCTGCCCCTTGGGAGCTGCTGGGTGGTGTTGTTCTCTCTGCCAACACATGAAATCTCAGAGCCTGGGTTTCATTCAACCACCCACAGAGATGGGCATCTGGGAACCAACCCACCATGTATTGGCATGGTACTTGGCGCTGGGGATATGGTGTCCACCCAGTCTGTGTCCTCAGGGAGCTCTCACAGCCAAGTGAGCTTCATAGATCACAACGGAGGGTGATAAATGCATTGATAGAAATAGAGGGAGGATACAGACCAGGCTGGGCTGGGTGTGTGTGTATCAGAGGTCTTTTTGACGAAAGAAAGAGAATTTTGACTTCAGTTAAGAAGACAAAAGTGCACTCCAGGGTAGAGCTTTGAGTTGCAGAGTTGAATTCCAGAGTTGAGGTCCTCCCCTTATGGCATTCAAGGGTGAGTGAGTGTCTGGATTTATTTTCCTCATCTGTAAAACAGCCATAATACATCAACCTTATAGGGTGGCTGTGGAATTTAAAAAGAGCCCTAGGCACACAGTAAGTCTTCAGTTGCTGATAGAAATAATTGTTCCTATAAATAAGAGGTCTTCCAGCTCACAGATCCATCCAGTGTAGACATGCTTTCTGTGAGATCCCCCAACAAGTGGTTTGGCAAGCAGTGACCTGCAGTGTTGATCTCCAGCGATCTCTGGTTCTTCCAGTCTTCCCCAAGTCCTGATTCATGTTCTCTCGGAGGTAACACTTGTGATTTCCTTCCCAGAGTTTCCACAAAGCCATTCTGGAGGTGGATGAGGTTGGCACCCAGGCGGCAGCGGCCACTGGCAGCTTTATCACCTTTATGTCTGCCCAGCACAATCGCAGAGTCCTTCGGTTCAACCGGCCCTTCTTCGTGGCGATCTTTTCCACCAACACCCAGAGCATCCTTTTCCTGGGCAAGGTTGTCAACCCCACGAAGCCATAGCCCTCCCAGAGCTGGCTCTCTGTTACAAGCAGGAAGGTGTGGCCTGGGGGTCTCAGTGTGAGCAGCTCCATGTTCAGAATGGGGGACACAGAAGATCCTGAGAGTCCAGGGCAGAAGCTGTTGGCGAGGGAGAGGGATGTGGGTGGTGTGAGATACGTGTGAACTGGACACCCAGCTCCTCAGGGCAGATCATCTCACCGCTTTGAGCACCACCCTGGAAGGTGGGAGAAACCCTGCCAGGTGGTTGAAGGGATTAAACACAATGATGGCTATGAGGAGCTTGGTTTGGTGCCTTGCACATAGTAGGTACTCAATAAATGTATCCCTATTCCCCATCCCTTTGGGGTTTGCCCTCCCTTGCCCTGGCGTAGCTGGTCCCAGACATGGGGGTGAGATGCTCCAAGTTCCAGGGGGTTGGCAAGGTATATATGGAAGGGGAAGAAATGTGGGCAGCCGGCTGTCCCCGGCAGGGTGGATGCTTTGTTTCTAGAGCAGGGGCTCTGAAGACCTTGGCTGGGAGAGCACCAGTCAAGGTGGCCGCCATAGCGACCTAGTGAGGAAGACCCAGCAAGACGGGCAGCACCCCCCAGGGGGGCACAGGCTCTGCCTCCTCCTTTGACCGTGGAGATGTGGCCGGTCCAGCAGGTTCAATGGCCATGGTCACAGATGCACCGCAGAAGAAGGAAGAACATGAGATTGGAGCCTGGGGGTCTATACTTACATCCTGCCCTTTTGCTCCAGGGCCTCTGGCCAATCTCTTCCCTTCTTGAGGCTGCTTCCTCACCTGGCTAATAGGGGCTTACCCAGATGGTCCCACTCAGATGTCCGTAGTATGTGGGGTGAATTCTCTGCACGGGGTCCACCCAGAGTCTTAGAGAAGAAACCTCTATCCCTCCCACAGGAAGAGGCAGGCCGACAGATCCTGGCTGTGTTTGTCCTAAACCTCAGTAATATATGGCAAACGCATTTCCCCAGGCAGGGCTCTGGGGGTGTTCTTGTTGGTCAGTTGCTGTCACAAACCCAGATTTCCACTGGTGACTGGAGAGACAGGCTGTGGGCCACCTCCAGCATTGAGATGACTGATTCAGAGTTACAATGATCCAGGCTTTGTGTGACATGGTCCCTGGCCCACGTCATGCTACAGGTACAAGAATAGGTCATTGCGGGAACCCAGGAAAACAATATCCAGGGCAAGAGACAGACTACTTGCTTATGGTAGGAAAAGCTGTTGCAGAAGGAAGCTAGAGAGGGTGGGAAGGGGAGATTTTGAGGTTCTCTCCCCTGGCCTCTAAAATACAGCCCTGAGCTGGACAGGACAACCTGGGACAACAATGGTAAAGGAAAGTCCCAGAGGAGGAAAGTGCTGAGCTCATCATACCGGCCCTGAGCTACACCGACAAGGCACTGGAAATGCCACAGGACCCCGTGCCCTCCCATGCTCAGAGGAATGCAAACCCTCCTTTCCATCCCCTGGTTTGATTGGCTGAAAAGCAGCTCTGTTACTGAAAATATTGGTCCACTTCCCCCTGCACCTGTTGAGAAGAAGTTGAATTCTGTTTTTTAAAGTCCGGCCCAGGCTGACACTGTCATCTCTGCCCCTACAGAGGCAGGCAGGTGGGTGGATTCAAGTGGGTCAGGTGAAAGGGCCTGGGGTTATTGTGGCCCCAGCACTGCCCAGGGGCGTGGGAACGTGAAGCCCGGGTGTGATGAAGGGGAGGAAAGGGGAGCCGTCACCCTCAGTTCAGCCTTGAGAGTGATGCTTCCATATTCTGACGAAGCCTGTCCCTCCCCAGCTCAGAAGCCCTCAGTGGCTCCCTCTTGCCTAGAAGATAAAGCTCGCAGTCCTCTACCTGCAGTCAAGGCCCTCCCCACCTGGTCCCCACCTGCCTCTCCTGCCTTAGTCCCTCCTCCTGCACTTGTGTGTCCAGTGACTTCAGCCACAGAAATGTGCTGCTTCCCCAGGTTGTCCCTACAGGCCCCCATTCCCCAGAGAGCCCCCTTCCCCGCCTCTGAGAATCTCCCAGGATCTCCTATAAACGCCTCAGGCCCTCTCCAAGGCGGACTGCCATCTTACCATCAAATGTGGTTGGCAGACTGTAATCTCTGCTCTCTTAGCCCTGATTAGACAGAACATCTGGAAGGCAGGGCTCTGTTCACCCTGTATTCCCTTCACTCACCCCAGAACCTGGCCCCTGAGTTGATCATATGGTCTGGCGTGTGGCTGAGGCTCAACTGATATTTGGTGAATGAATGAATGAATGAATGAATGAATGAATGAATGAAAAAGGCTATGCCCTGAGCAAGGTCCCCGAGCTGTTTGTTCTGCACCAACCCCCTTGACACATCCCTGGAATTGATTGGGTAAATATTTATGCCAACTCCGCAGATTTCTAAATGCGCTTTTGGAACATTAAACCCAGAAAGCAATAAAAAAGACTCCATGCAGGACACCTTATTCCCCCCGAGTGGTGCCCGGGCTTCCTTCTCTTTTGCTGCTCTCCTATGGGGTCCCTTATTGGGTGGCACTTGTTACACCACTTGAGAACCCACTTCTCAGGGACCAGCGTTCAGCACTCCGAAGGGCTGAGTGGGTTTATGGTTTCAGGAGCTCTCTTGCACGGGAAAAATGGAGGCTTTCTGTGCTTTGCAGCAGGAGGGTGGGGGGTGGGCAATAGGGAGCGCCATGAGCATCAGCGGTATACTCTGGGGACCCCGGATGCCAGCGGAATGATGAGTTTGCCTGGCTCTCATAAGTGGGTGTGTGGAGATGCCTCATGGGCTCTCTCGGTTATTCATTCTGTCATTCAACAAATAGTTACCAGGCGGGGATTGGCCACTGGCCGGGAAACCAGGGGATCTCTCAAATGGAGGGGACGGAGGGGGAGGCACTTGAAATCTGGATGGAAACAAGGGGGGATGCAGCCCCAGCTTCTCCACTAACCCTGTGCGGTGGGGCAGGCACTTCACCTCTCTGGATCTCAATGTCCACTCTCCACCCCATAAGTAGGCACAGAGCCCCCCCCCAGCAGCTGTAGCAGCAGAGATGGGGGGTGGACATGGGATCCCCTGAGGCTACAGACCTAGGAGCCCCTCCCTGGCTCTGACTCAGTGTGGCAGGTGAGGGGCAGGAAGGAGCCCGCTCCATCCCTGGCTGCCTGGGAAGGCGAGGGACCCTCCTCTGGGAAACGGCAGATCTAAGGCCGGTGGCTCCCATGTTCCCATCCTCTGAGCAGCTGCAGGGAGCAAGGCATGGTGATGCGTGCTTCTAGGAGTTATCAAGAAGCCACAGAACACCCAAGTATAGAACCCAGACTTTGGAGCTGGAATGCCTGGGTTCACATCTGGCCGCCACCAATGACTGAGTGTATTAGCTTGTTAGGGTTGTCAGTACAAATCGCCACAAACTGAGTGGTTTAACCAACAGAAATGTATTTTTCCAGAGTTCTGGAGGCTAGAAGTCCAAGATCAAGGTGTTGGCAGGGTGGTGGTTCTTTCTGAGGGCCGTGAGGGAGAATCTGTTCCAGGCCTCCCTCCCAGCTTCGGGTGGTTTGCTGGACATCCATGGAATTCTCTGTGTGTCTGTGTCCAGATGTCCCCTTTTTATAAGGACACAGGTCATAGGGGATTAAGGGTCCACTCCAGTGTGATTTCATCTTAACTAATTCCATCTGCAATGACCCTGTATTCAAATAAGGTCAACTTCTATGGTGGTGGGGGTTAGGACTTCACTCTAGGGGGACATAGCTTAACCTGTAACAGTATGGGACACGGGGTATTCTGCGCCTCAGTGCCCTTATCTGTAAAGTGGTGATGATACTACCTAACACGAAAGCCCATTTGGAACATTGGATGAGTTATTATACATAGAGCACACACCTTTGGTGCCCCACAGATGTTAACCAGTCTCTCATTTCATCTTCTGTCACAACCCTGTCTTCTAGAGCAAGTCACAACTTCAGATGCACAGGTCACCTGAATAGGTAAAGTGGGCTGATAGTGTCGGGGTCCAGGCAGGTGGGTCAGTAATGGCCCCCATCTCATTAAAGGCATTTCTGCTCAACATTGTAGCACTCAGCGGGCTGAGCAGAATCCACCTCTGCTCTGGGCGAAACTCACCTGTTGGGATGGTGTTCTCTGCTGCTCTTGGTGTTAATGGAAAAATAAATCTACTGTGATCTATATAGTCCTTTAAATTTCCATATTCTGGCCGCTGACCCATCCTACCCTCTCACTGGGGCTGTTATGGATTTAAGTGTGTCGCCTCAGAGTTCACATGTTGAAGTCCTAACCCCTAATGTGACTGTATTTAGAGACGGGGACTTTCAGGAAGGTAATTAAAGTTAGGTGAGTCATAAGGGCTGGGCTTTAATCCCACAGGAACGGTGTCCTTAAAAGAAAGAGACGCCAGGGCGCCTGGGTGGCTCAGTCGTTAAGCGTCTGCCTTCGGCTCAGGTCATGGTCCCAGGGTCCTGGGATCGAGCCCCGCATCGGGCTCCCTGCTCTGCGGGAAGCCTGCTTCTCCCTCTCCCACTCCCCCTGCTTGTGTTCCTGCTCTCGCTGTCTCTCTCTCTGTCAAATAAATAAATAAAATCTTTAAAAAAAAAAAAAAGAAAGAAAGAGACGCCAGAGCTGCGTCTCTCCCTCTCTCCCCTTATGCACAAAGAGCCCATGGAGAAGGTGCCAACTACAAGCCAGGAAGGGAGAGCTCACCAGAAACCAAATCTGACGTCACGTTGATCTTGGACTTCTAGCCTCCAGAAATGGGAGAAAATAAATTTCTGCTGTTTAAGTCCCCCAGTCTATGGTATTTTGTTATGGCAGCCCTCGCAGGATAATACATGGGGCACCATGCCCTGAGACCATCCCCACCCCCGAACCTTTCTCTTCGGAACTTACCCAGTCTCTGCCCCCTTCCTTCAGAGCCCTTTCTCAGCAGCAGTGGGGGGTCAGGGATCACCACAGACTTTCCCCAAATTCTCAAGACATTCCTTATAACACAGGCTTAGAATGTAGTCCATGGGATGTCTCCAGGAACAATACACACAGCCGGAGAAGTCCTTCCTATCTTGGTCAATTCCATCTTTCCCAAATACTTCCAACTGGAGCCCATTTTGGGGTATTACACTAGTTTCCTGTTCCTGCTATAACTAATTAATACAACTGTAGTGGCTTAAAACTACACACATTCATTCTTCTACACTTCTAAAGGCCCAAAGTCCAAAATTGGTCTCACTGGGTCAACATCAAGAAGTTTGCAGGGCTTCCTTCTGGAGATCCTTGCCCATCACACATCCTCGGCATCCCCACATCACACGGTCTTCTCCTGCTTCCACGATCACCTTGCCTTCTTCTGATTCTGATTTCCCACGGCCTTCACTTATAAGGACCCCTGTGATTACGTTTAGGACCCACCTGGGTAATCTGTGCTAGTCCCTCCATTTCAAGATCTTTAACTTAGTCCCATCTGCAAAGTCCCTTTTGTCATATAAGGGAACATTCACAGGTCCTGGGTATTAGGACGTGGCTATCTTTGGGGGGCACGTTATCTATCCCAGCACAAGTGTGTAATACGAACATAGTTTAGGAATCTCTAGGTTCTGAAAGGAAGGACTCTTGCTATGTCACATGGCACAATGGACAGAAGAGACCTAGCTTTCCCCTTGCTAATGCTTCTCCTTATGAGCTGTGTGCCTTTCGGCTGATTACCTAACCTCTCTCTGCTTCTACCTTCTCACTGATTCGATGGAGATACCAGTACTCACCTTCCTGCACATCGGGAGGGCAGGGAACACAAAGCAAGTCCTGGATGCCTGATGGCTACCATGTTTGCCTCTAGACTGAGGCTGAGTTCAGTCTCCTCCTGGTCTTAGAGGTGGTAGAAGGACCCTGTTTGCAAAACACCAAGATTGCTTCCCTTGGGCAATGCCTGGTCCCCTGTCTTCTCTGCCAACTCCACACCCCAGCTCACCCACATAACTCTGGGTCGTGGCCACACACAGGACATCTAATACCAGGGCATGGGGACCTTGGGAATGAAACAAGGGTTGAGCCAGCACCCTGCACCAGCATCTTGGAAATGCTCTTGAAATGATGGGGCTGAGTCCCAGAGCCCCCATTTCAAGGTTGGAAAGAGCAGTCTAGATGAGCCCACTGAAATCCTAGATACAGCCCTTTTCTAAGTAAAGAGCCCTGACCTTGAAGTTGGGGATCTGGGCACTTGGCCCCACGTTGTCCCCAATTTGATACATGACTCTGAAAAGTCCCTTCATCTTTCTGAGCCTCAACTCAGTTATTTGCACAGCCAGGGGACTGCATACAATGGTCCCTTCATCCAGCCGTGGTGACAGTCCCTCCGATTTCCACCAGACTCTCACTGTTATATGAATCCAGCAAACACATGGGGCTGCAGAGCTCTTGGGCTCACACCGCACTCCCCCAGATGTGTAGCCAAGTGACTGCAGGAGACAATGGAATCAAGCTGGAGAAGGGGAGGCTGGCCAGAGGGTGGTGTCCCTTTCTCCATGTCTGGAATGCCACAGCGGGTGGCCTCCCGGGGGAACCTGCTGTTGCAAGCAAACGGGGGTCTGGTGGGGCTGGCGGTGGGGCAGTGAGCGGGTGGCCCGGGTCAGAGCCCAGGTGATTGTGCCAGCAGCCCGCCCATTGGCCAGAAGCCTGCCGGGACAGGACAGGGCAGGGCCAAGGGAGGGGGGGGCGGAGTCAGGGCCCAACAAAGGTCAGTGGCAAATGCTGGTTCCGGTCCCAACACTCTGCTTTTCACTGAACACGAGGGACCGTGAGCTCCACTGCGTGCACGCTTGGCCATGGGACAAAGTAAGTCCAGGCATTGAGGGCGGACAGAGGGCCCACGGGCTTGAGGGCGTATGGGGGACAGTGAGGACGGGACACTGGGGTTATGGGATCTGGGGGGGTTCAAAGCTTGGGTGTTGTCCCAGAACGACCAGGAAAACTCCCTGCGGTGCTGGGGAAGGAGCCAGGGCCTTGGAGGCCGCAGAGACCCCCCTCCACCACCCCCTGGCCATGTGAACTTGGGCACGACCCTCCCTCCATCTGGCTACACCTCAGTGTCCTTCTAGGTAAGAAGCAAATCATTACACCTCCCGCAGCTGTGAAGTTTCAGTACTTGGTAGCTCTCACCCAGGAGTGATTTTATCCCTGGGGCACATCTGGCAACCGCGGGAGACATTTGTAGTTGGTGCAGCTAGAGACAGGGCTGCACGGGCATCTAGTGAGTAAGAGGCCGGGGAGGCCCTAACCCACCCCCCCCAACAAGGCGCGGGACAGCCCCCGCAGCAAAGAACAGTGCCGAGGTGCAGAACCAAAGTAAGGTCGTGGGGACGCAGCGTCTGGTCCACAGGCAGAGCTCCGTAACCCAGAGCTTTTCTGTATTGTTACGGTGCCTGCAATCTCGGACCTTGAGAACTCAGGAGAAAGGATGGAATATCTCTCTTTCCCCAAGTGAGGGCCGCCCTGCCTGGAGGCTGTCACCCAGAGGGGTCACAGTGGCCACTCGAGCTCTAGATGCTGCTTGGCAATTTGGTTTTTGTTTGTTTTGTTTTTAAAGATTTTACTTATTTATTTGAGAGTGAGAGAGTGCACAAGCAGGGGGAGAGGGAGAGGAAGAAGCAGGCTTCCTGCGGAGCAGGGAGCCGGATGCGGGGCTCGATCCCAGGACCCTGGGATCATGACCTGAGCTGAAGGCAGATGCTTAACCGACTGAGCCACCCAGGCGCCCCCAGGCGATTTGTTAAATAAGCAAAATGTCGACATAAAAAGGAGTGTACTTTCCAGTTTTTCTAAGGATGGGGCCCCTTGGCAAGAAATACGACAATATTTCTTGCTCTCCTGGCCAATGTCCTAGGTCATGGATCAGGAAGCCACCGTGTGAAGAATAAGGTGGCGGGCAGAGGGGGCCGGGAGCTGATGGATGTGTTGGTGGTGGTGGTGGTTTCACGGGTGTACACGGTAAAGATGTATGGCTCTTTGTATGTCAGTCGGACCTCCATAAAATGGTTTTTAAGAAAGAAAAGGGAAATGGAAGCCAAGCAGCTGGGCAGGAGTTGGCAAGCCCTGGGAGCCCAGCCTGACTCCACATCCAGCATGGCGTCTAAAACCTCTGAGCACTTCATTCATTCATTCATTCATTCCAAAAAGGGCTGTGAGCACCAGCCGCTGACTGCAAATCTTGCAGGGAGAGCAGGGTCGGAGTGGGTCCTCTCTGTTAGGAGCACATGCTCCAGTGGGGAAGAGAGGCTGGAACCCGGAAGGCACCAGCAAATGCATGTGGGCTCACGCTCACATCACGGTGGAGCAGTGAGATTAACAATCAAGAGGCCCTTACAGAGCATAACAACACGGTGGGGGGGTGTGGCCAGGCACAGGCGAGGGACCCCGACACCCAAAGTGGCATTCAAGCGGGGGCCTGAGGCCTAGGGAGAAGCTGGATCTGCCCCCACACACCACGGGGGCGGCAATGGCCTTCTTGGGCAGGGGGCACTGTGCCCCGGGGGGGTGACTGAGGGAGATGCCTTCAGAATGGCTCTGGGGGCCGGAGGAGAAGGGGAGTGGGCCGGTGAAAGGGTCTCTACGAGGACATGGCAGGAGCAATGGGGAGAGGCAGGCTGATGTCAGAGATGCTCTGGAGCTAGAAACCCACAAGCCTCGCTGATGGTCTGGAGGTGGGGAGGAAGATTTTAAAAGTTCCCTAGGCTACTGCTGCCAGGAAGCTCTCCTGGGTCTTTAGGATCCAGGGGAGGCTGGGATTTTGTCTTTCCCTCTCTGCCTGCGCCCCAAGGCTCTACATCTCCTTTTGCAATCAGTGGATAGACCTCAGCCACACGCCTCCCCCAGCTGAGTCCAAAGTTGATCCGGTAGGACTTTGTCGCCTAACATTTGGAATAAACGAAGCAGATGTTGAGTCCATGGATGGGGGCGGGGTGGGGGGATCAGTGGGAGGACTGCCTCAGCGCCTGCCCTTCCCCTGCCCACACCAGCCGGCTCAAGCCACTTTGGCCTGGGATGCCGGATGAGCCTGAATGATCTGCTCTCCTCCCTCAGACCTGTGGGGGCCTATCTGCAGAAACGCCGGCATCAGGGGGCCCAGGAGAGGGTCAGCTGGGCCAGGGTCCCACGGGCCAGGCTCCCAGGGCCTGGAGCAGATTTGGCGTCAGCACAAAACTCTGTCAAAGCTGCGTATTTCCACCAGAGGCCCAGGACTGTGATGGTGCAGGCTGGGCTTGAAACTGGGAAACCTGAACCGAGCACCCTAAGGCCTTCACTTTCTCAGAAGCGATCTCTCTCTCATCCTCTGTTTCCTCCTCTGTACAATGATGATGATACCGACTCCGTGTTGCTGTGGAGGGGTATAAAGGGGCTCATACAGGTGAACAGCTTGGGCAAGAGCCAGGGATACTCCCCAGGGGCTACAGGAGAGGAGGAATGAGGTCTCAGAGTCATGAAAAGAAGACAAGGGGCCGTGTGTACACCAGTCACAGGAATCTGGATTTTAATCCCAGTTCCATCACTCCCTGGCTGGGACAAGCTGTACCATTTTGCTCAGCCTCAGTTAATCCATCTGTAAAACGGTCTCAATGATGCTTACTTTCGTTGACGGTTAAATGTAGTAATATTTGTAGAGTGTCTGGCTTTAATAAGAGATAGAGAGTGGGCCCAAATGGACTGAGGGTTCTAGGTCCCAAACCTGCAGCCTAGGGGAGAGTGGATGAGGCTGGAGCCCCCTCTAAGGAGACCCCGCTGTCCAGGGAGACTCAGAGCATGCTGGGAAAGCGGCTCTGGCCCACCAGACCTCTGCTGTTTGGCTGGGTACGGGGGGCAGGGGTGGGGAGAAGGGTTACTGGCCACAGCACTGTGACAGACCTTGAGTTGTTTACGAACAAAATGAGGGCTTCAGAGGGGCACAGACTGGCCCAAGGCCACCAGGTTGGCTGCAGGGACAGGAGGCCAGAACTCTCCCTCCTGCCTGAGCCAACTGCCCCTGGGCTCCATCCAAGCAGGACACTCCCTCGGTGTCTGCAACTATTCTTTGAAAGCGTTTCTTTTACCAGCTCGGTGTTAATCTGTGATAATGGGGGGGTGGGGGTGTTGAGCTGAATGTGTGCTCAGCAGCATCCTGCTACATTGATGCTCTAACACGTTGCAGGAGGGACCATACCGTGCCGTAAAATTAACTAATTTAAAGGACACAGAGATTAAGCCACCCACCCATGTCCTTTAAAGACCTGCACTCTCAGGGTGCACACAGAAAGGGGGTGCCCAGACCCTGCGGCTTAGTTTTCTGCTGGCTGCCGAGGCAGGGGACACAAAGGCTGGGGGCTGTCGCAGGGAAGGAGGGCCAGGGATCCGGAGAAGCCAAATGGCGTGGCGGTTCAGTGCCTGGTCTCCGTGCGGCAGAACTGGGTCTGAGCCCAAGCCGTGCCCCACCAGCCAGTGACTCGGCCGCTCCGAGCTTTCGGTGACCCCTCCGTAGATGGTGCTAGAAGCGGAACCTGCCTCTGAGGGTGGGTGTGAGGCTGATGGAGGGCAGTACGAGGAGACAGCGCAGTGCCCAACAGCAGGCTGGAGACGGCTGCAGCCGCTGCCTGGGGTCCTGGGTGGTGGGAGTTTCTGCAGACAGAACATTCTAAATGAGCCTCCTTTGTGAGCTCAGGTGCAATGTGGAGTCCGGGGTGGGGGTGGGGGCTGCTCAGGTCCCTCGATTTTGCTCAAAGACAGGACGGCAGCCCAGGTCTGCCTGACCCCCAAGGTCACTGGAGCCCCCCCCAACTACCCTGCCACCGGCAGTGGGCGACTTTGCATGCAATGTCCAATGCAGCTGTTTGGGGCCCTTTGGGGTTGGGGTTTGTGGGGGTCAGGGGACCTGATGACGTGGTGGAAGACCCAGCTGGAGGGAGTTCTCACCGTCAAGGGCTTTCCTCAGCAGACAGGTCGCCAGGCCCACACGAGAGCAAGGATGCGGTGAGAGCGCGTCCCCACGGCACAGCTGGGGAGCTGGGGGATCTCGGCGGGGCTTTGGCTGGAAGCTGCCAAAGCCACCGCTGACCCTGCCACCCCACCAGGTCTGCGCCGGGCCCTGCCACAACACTTGCCCTATGTCGACTGCTTAAAGCCCCAGCCACCCGCTGGCGCAGGTCCCGGCGTCATCTCTGCTGTACAGGTGGGGGACGGTGGCACGGGGTGTGACTGGCTTGCCCCAAACCGCTCTCTTGTAGGAAGCAGCGGGGCCGAGCTTTGAACTCAGGAGGCTGGGCTGCTCACAGGTGGACCGTGAGCACAGGGGACTTTGGGAGGCCCGGGCACAGGAAGGGTTCTGGTTGGAGGCAAGGGGTCTAGGTAGGTGGACAGGAGGGAGGAAGGGGAGGAGGGGCTGAAGACCCCCCAGGGCCCACCCAGGAGACCCCCGCATCTGGGGGACGGAAGGAAGAAGAGATGTCTTGGCTCAGGCCGCCGTAACAAAGCATCACAGAACAGAAAATTGGTCTCGGCTCAAGGTGTCGGCAGGGCTGGTTCCTGGACTCGGAGATGCTGGTCTCCTCCCTGGGTCCTCACATGCTCTTCCCTCTGTGCGTGTCTGGGGCCTAATCTCTTCTCACAAGGACACCGGCCAGACTGAATCAAGGCCCGCCTGTAGGACCTCATTTTGACTTCATTACCTTTTTAAAGATCCTATCTCCAAGTACAGTCACATTCTGAGGTGCTGGGGGTTAAGACCTCAACACAGGAGTTTGAGGACCACAATTCAGCCACCATAGAATAAGAGGGAAGCTGGGGTGCTCACATTAAGAGGGCAGAATGTCCTCCCTGGGTTGGGGGGGAGGTGCTTCTGACGAGGTGCCAGGATGGCCCCAGGGTCCTAGCGCAGCGCCTCCCCCACCCCTGCCCCGGGGGAAGTAGAAAAGAACCAGTTGGCATCCACATGTTCACCAATGAATCTCTGGAGCCCGGCACCCTGCCTGCCATGTGGGAGATGCTCAATATATATTTGCTGAGTGAACAAGGATAGACCGGCAGTCTGAGGGGCCTGTGGGGGGTAGTTGGTCTGAGTTCATAGGAGGACCACCAGGCCTTGCAAATGCTGCCCCCAGGGGTTGAAGTGACATTCAGAGGCCACTTGGGAAGCAGGCTTCTCATTCCCTGGGAACCTCAGAGATGCTGACCAGGCAGAAGGAGGAGAGCCCTGCACTCCCACCCCCCACCCCCCTGTGGCACGTACCCTGATGTGGTAGGACTCTTGCACCTCGGGTCTGCATGCTCTGCCTTCTCCTAACTTTCCTGACCCTTAGATGCCCAAGTCCCCCACGTGTCTGTCCTCGAGCCCCCACGGCTCTCTTTAAACCCTCTCTCCCAACTGCACGGGCTCAACCTCTCCCTTAGATGCTGCACGTCGGGTGGTCACATCTCTGGGACGTGAGCCTTACCCACTTCCCCACAGTCTCCTGGCTGGGGAGATGCACCAGCTGTGCACCCTCCCTGAGGACCCTGCCCACTTGCCTTTCAGGACGAGGAGCAGCCACAATGCAGGTCTGCCTCCTCCTGTGCCTGACGCTCCTCAGCCCGCTGGGCGCCAGCCTGCGCGGCCACCGCTCCCGAGAGGCAAAGAAGAGAGTCAAGGAGCCGCCCGTGCTCAGCACGCGGGCCCCCGCCAGCAGGGACTTTGCCTTCGACCTCTACAGGGCCTTGGCTACAGCTGCCCCCGACCAGAACATCTTCTTCTCCCCTCTGAGCATCTCCACCACGCTGGCCATGCTGTCCCTGGGGGCGCGATCGCACACAAAGGTGCAGATCCTAGAAGGCCTGGGCCTCGGCCCCCAGGAGGGTTCGGAGGAGGAGCTCCATGTCACCTTTCACCAGCTGCTGCGGGAGTTCGCCCAGCCCAGGAAGGACATCCAGCTGAGCCTTGGCAACGCCCTGTTCGTCAGCCCCACATTTCACCTCCAGGACACCTTCCTGAATGCCGTGAAGACGCTGTACCTGGCAGACGCCTTCCCCACAAACTTCATGGACCCCATGGGGGCCCAGAAGCAGATCAATGATTACGTGGCAAAGCAAACGGAAGGCAAGATTGTGGACTTGGCTGAGGACCTAGATAGCACGGAGGTCATGGTTATGGTGAATTACATTTTCTTTAAAGGTAAGACCCCTGCGCACAAGCCTGAACTTTCTCCTTTCTGCTGCTTTTGTCAAAAGAGCACCCAATGCCCACACACATAAAGGGGTGGGAGTAGATTTAGTCCCTTCTGGTGCCTGTTGACAGATGGAGGCCAACAAGCAGCTGAGGGTAAGACAGAGGCATCTTCCTATAGGGTAAGGGGATGTCAGTGACCCCGGACTGCTGTGTCCCCCACGAGGGAAGAGCTGGGTCCTGTCCGTGGGCCCTGGGGTCATAGCTTACACACTAGATCTAAAGCACAAGATCGCCATGGCCACCGTACCATACCACCACTCGGGGCAGGATTGCGGGTCTTAGAAGGACCTTGGAGGGCCTTCCCTTGCCCCCACCTCCTTGCCCCCATGCCCTCCTAGGGGCTGTTTCCTCAGTGGAGAAATCCTCTGACAAGCACCTGTCCCTCTGGAGAGTTCTCCCCCTCTCCCACAACAGCAGATCTCTCCACGTTCAGCTCCCTGACGTTTCTGGTGGATACCCCTACTCATCTCGGCTCTCATGAGAGCTTCTCCTTCTAGATGCTGAGCCCCTCGGTGCCTGTATGGGGCCTGGCTGAAGATGGGAAGACAGGGGTGAATAAAGGAGGGGAGGGAGGGAGGGAGGAAAGAGGAAAATAGTTAGCTTGTTAACCACCTCCCCCCTTCTTAGGAGTGCAAATGGCAAGCAATCCAGCTTGGAATCCAAGATTTATTATCCCCCAGGGCAGGGCTCTCTCTAGGACACCAGGCTGCGGGGGACAACTGGATAGCCAGACATAAGCTACGAGGGGCACTGGGGTGGGTTCTGAATCTGATGACTACCAAGAAGATGGAAAGAACTACTTGTATCTCATTGATGTAGAAATGCAGCAGGAATCAGACGGAGCAGGAAGCATAACTGAGGGCTTTTCAGTAAGAAGAACCCTGTATGTCCAGGAACCTTACAAACCTGTCTCCCAAACTTAGATCAAAATCCAAAAATGGGAAAAGAGTGAACAACAGAATAACTCCCCCAGGTGTAGTGTCGATGTGTCAGCCATTCGTACCATTGACCCTCTTCCCGAGCATATTTGACCTTGAGTAACCCCAGAGAATCAAACAAACACCATTGGCAGTTGAGGGCCTCCAAAGACATGGAAAGCATCCTCCTTGCTTTGCCCATGTCAAAGGAAAAGGCCCACAGAAAGTTCAGGCACGTCCCCGAAGTTATAAAAGGGCTCACCTTTCTATTCCAGGGGTTCCGTGGTCCCTGCCACCGAGGGGACTGTGCCAGGGAAGATGAGCTCTGTTTGATGGGTTTACTGTCTCGACACTGTTTGCAGCTCAGAATTTCTAATGTCTTTTCCATTTTGATATTTAGCTAAGTGGGAGACAAGCTTTGACCACAAAAGCACCCGAAAGCAGGATTTCCATGTGACTTCAGAGACGGTGGTGCGGGTGCCCATGATGAAACGGGAAGACCATTATTATTACTTCCTGGACCGAAACCTCTCCTGCAAGGTGGTGGGCGTCCCCTACCAAGGGAATGCCACCGCTTTCTTCATTCTCCCCAGTGAGGGCAGGATGGGACGGCTGGAGAACGGACTGAATGGAGAAACACTGAGGAAGTGGCTCAAGATGTTCACAAAGAGGTATTCTGCAGGTGACGTGGGGCCAGCCTGGCCCCGCATACCCCCAGGGAGACAGAGCGGTGGTGGGAGGGTCTCACCCAGCCCAGGAGCGGCCTCCAAACCCAGAGCCATCGAGAGAGGTCCCGGCCCCCAGGGCCTGGCTTAGCTGGAGGGAGCCATCAGAGTGGAGTGGGCAGGGACCTCTGGGGACAGCCCAGGTCCAAGTCCAGAGTGGGGTGGGCTCTGGGCAAGGGGCGGGAGGACCATTACAAAGCCGAGGGGAGATAGCAGGGCTATGAGCTCAGTGAGCTGATGCTCTAGGGAAACTCTAAGAAAAGTTCTGTCCTCTTTCCAGGCAGCTTGAGCTCTACCTTCCCAAGTTCTCCATCGAGGGCTCTTACCGGCTGAAGGAGGTCCTCCCCACGCTGGGCATCAATGATGTCTTCACCTCCCATGCTGACTTGACTGGCATCACCAACCACTCCAGCATCCAGGTGTCTGAGGTGAGCTCGGAAGCTCCTGAGCCCCTGTTTTCAGAGATTTCTGTTCTCTTCTGTTCTATTCTATTCTACCCCACTCCACTCCGCTCTTTTCATTCCATTCCATTCCACGTTCCACATTCTCTCTCTCTCCTCTTTTCCCTCAAGAAGCAAAGATACCACTTTGTGTCTTATCCTATGTGCAGTGGGAAACTATATCCAGCACTGTGTCTTAGGAGGGACTCTCATTAAACAATCAAAACTAAGAATTAGGGGCTCGCTCCTTCACTCACTAGCTGCGTGACCTCCAACAATTACCTGCCCTCTCTGAGCCTCCTTTCTCTCTATAAAACTGGAGAGTCACAGCGCTGCTGCGAGACGCCGTGAGAATTCAATGGGAGGCAAGGCGCTGTCACCTCCCGGCGCAGATCCTGGTGCGTAGTAGCTGCACGGCTGTGTCATTTGCAACCGGCGTGGTGGCGAAGTCGCACAGAGACTTGGACAGGGATGCCACAGGCAAAAGCTCTGCCACCTCCTGGGATGGCATCTCCCAGCTCCTGGTGGCTCGGTGACACCTGATGTCTCCTCTGCAGATGGTGCACAAGGCCGTGGTGGAGGTGGACGAGTCGGGGACCAAAGCAGCTGCGGCCACAGAGGCCATCTTCATGTTTAAGTCGGCCCCAATGAGCTCTCAAAGGGTCATGTTCAACAGGCCTTTTATGATGCTTATTGTGGAGAATTCCACCAACATCCTCTTCCTTGGCAAAGTGACCCACCCCTGAGGTCGGGGTTTCTCCTGAAAGGCCACAGGCCTCTGTAGTGGAAGTTGAAGGTGCACTGTGGCATCTCTCTGCTGGGAGCTGGTGATTTACACAGGTTTTGTGGACTAATGAGGCTTTCACAAGTAATAATAGTCACAGTATTGATATACTAATGATTGTTTCTTCTCACACAACTGCATGACGTGGACACCCTGAAGCACCTTCAAGAGCATTTGGTTTTGCCCTCACCCTTCATCAGTGGAGTCTAACACTGAGGCCCAGAGAGGTTGGTTGACTTGCCCAAGGTCACACGGCATGTTAGTGGTAGACAGAAGCCCAGAATCCAGGCCCCTGACGCCCAGTCCGGTGCCTAGAGCTCTGTAGGAGGATTGTTCTGGTAGACATTTCTACCAAGAAATGTATTTCCAAGCCGAGTCCTCCTCTTGCCAGCAATACCAGCCATCAGTTCATCATGGTGTGGAAAGAACACTGAAATGGGAGTCTGGAATGGGGCTTCTGTCCCAGCTAACCAGCTGTGGGACATTGGGGTAATGCTGTCCCTCTCTGGACCTCCATTTCCCCCTCGCATACAATGAAGGATCAGGTGAAGGGTGGAAGGCTCCTCGACATTATATAAGGAAGCTGAGGTGTTCCCTGCCAGTCACAGTAGATTTTAACACATTCCAGTGCTACTTGTCCTTGAAGAAAAGCAAGTGGACAGCAGGGTGGAAATGGCCCATCACGGCATCGAACCATCCTGTGGCTTCAGTTACAACCTCCCGGCGTTGGCTGGGGACAGGAGCACAGAGACCTGTGGCGAATACTACAGTATCTTTTGAAGACATTGATGACTAACTGTGACTTTTAGTGTCGACAGTAACAATAAAACACTCTGCAAACACTGGGTGTCATTGTCCTTACGGAAATAACGCTGGGAATGGCGAAATTAATAGCTTACCATGTGGCAGGCTCAGTGCTAGGCGCTTTACCTGGATGGCTGCATTTATCTGCTGGGAGGCAGGTACGGCTGTTGTCCCCATTTTACAGATGGGAAAGGCTAGGCTTGCAGAGAGCAGGCTGCTTATCCAGCCACACAGCTTCTAAGGAGTGGAGGCAGGATTTGACCCTGGGCGTGTGGCCCCCAGACCCACATTTTCAGCCCTGTGCTCTGCTGCAGGGAAGACATGACTAAGAACCAGAAGGCTGGGTCAGGTGCCTCTCGGCCATCCACTCCCCTGTGATGCAGGTAAGCTGAATCTCTCTCCTCCTTTATGAAAGCCACTACAGACGGTTCCTCATCTATCAAATGAATGGGATCGGATACTTTGAAGAATCAACGAATGAGCGAATGAGTCCTTCACTCAAATTGTCCCCTAATTAGCTGCCCCCTTAAATCTGAGCGCTTGCTGCCACCCTGCATGACGACCCTAGCTTGCTCCCCAGTAAGGCTGCTCCTACCGCTCTGATCCCAGACTCTGCACTGTGTTGCAAAGGGATGCCCCCTCGATCAAACAAGGTCAGAACCCCAAGCTTTGGCCACACCCCAAAGTACTGAACACCTACTTTGGACCAGCCCTTGGGGACCCCTTGCATCTGTCATCTCCTGAATCCCTCAACACAGCATGTCAGTGTACCCATTTCACAGAGGGGACGTGAGTGCTTGCCCAGAGGCTGAGGCCAGTGAGAGGCTCAGGCTCCAGGACCCGGATGGCACCCATGTTGGCATGTGGCCGGGCAGATGGCCGCGACTGGATGGGGACAGCTCGTCTGCGTCTGTGCTTTCAGCTCAGGACAGCGTTTCAGGATTGGGCCTCCTCGTGGGGCCACATCAGCTCCCGTGTGCCTCTCCCTTGCGAAATGCCTCTTCTGCCTTGGCAGATATTTCTCTCGCTGTTTGCTCAGCCAGCCCAAGGTCAGGGGGAGGCCCCGTCCGTGTGATGTGTGTCAGGCCAAGGTCCAGCATTGTCTGAAGGTCACTGGGCACGTGGTCACAAAACAGCTACCATGTGTGAGGTCGGGATGGGCTCTGGGGTGCCTCATGTCACACCCTGAAGCTCCTGCTGGGTGTCATTGCAGGCCACGCTGCTCAATTGTCACACAATCCTGGGATGAACGAAATGATACAGCACCTGGGAGAGAGAGATCAGGAAAGCTTTCTCAGAAGAGGTGGTACCTAGCTGGTCTAAGGAGTAAGTAAGCCTTCAACAGACAGCAGGTTTGGGAACAGGGAAGGGACTCCAGCGGAGGGAAGGGCTGGAGAATGGTGTTGAGCGAGCTGTACTGTGCGGGAACCATGGAGACTTCACTCCGGGCCAGTATAGGGCACCTGAAGGAGAGCAAAGGGGATCAGGTTCCCACGCTGCCATCTGGGACAGGGACCCTGAACGTGAGGCTGGTGTTCGTTCTCTTTCTTCCCAATTTTAGGGTGGTTTGGTCATCTGCATCACACCCTGAGCACCCCCTGGACCCCTCGTGTCCCTCACTCTCCCATTGGCACAAGAGCAGACACCTCCACTCAGCCCTGTAGGGGGCGCTCCTCGCACCCACGCGCACCTGCTCGCCCAGCTCCCCACCGTCGTCCTTTCTCCTGTTGACCTCGTCCATCCTATCCAGTAACAGCACAGTGTAACAACAGAAACTGTGTGACCTCACAGCCCTGGAGGCTGGAGTCTGAGACCCAGGTGTCAGCAGAGTTGGGTCCTCCTGAGGCCCCTCTTCTTGGCTGGGCTCCCAATGGCTTCCTCTCTTTGTGCCATCATATGGTCCTCTCTCGGGGTGCTAACCTCCTCTTCTGTCTCCCAGCCTCCACCGGTCCAGCTGGACCAGAGCCCACCTTACCGACCTCATTTTAACTCAATCACCTCTTTAAAGGCTTCGTCTCCAAATACAGCCTCGTCCTGAGGTGCTGGGGGTTAGGGCTTCAACAGATGAAGGGGGGGGACCACAATTTAGCCCATAAGAGTCATCTCCCTTCGAATTCCTGCTGCTATTGCCAACCCCCGCCTTGTTCTTGGGAAGCCACTTTCATTTCCCTCTCTGACCACATGGACTCTCAGGAAGAGTCCTTGTGAACCCACTGCCTCCAGAATGCAGAGGACAATGCTAGAGCTCAGGACTCCTGCCCCCGCCTCTTCTGCAGAGACTGGGGCCAGAAAAATGACCCTGGACTCCAAGAGGAAACACTTCACACCCCAACAAGCAACCATGCCCAGCCCACTCTTGCTTATTTAAGCTCTTTCACCCAAAGGCCATTGTTTGGGGGCCGCCTATGGGGCCTCGGGCCTGGAAGTCATACAAGAGTCCAAAGGCAAGCTCAGCAGACACGGACTCTGGCCACAACCAGCTAACCAAACAGATAAACATGGGGGTACAAACTGTGGCAAGGGTGATTCGTTCGTCCGCAGATGTTTATTGAACCCCCACTGCGTGTCTGGAACCATCCCGGGTGCTGGAGATAAATGAAGGAAACCCCCAAATCCCTGCCCTGGTGAAGCTACATTCTTGCCTGGAGAGACAATGGAATAAAAAAATAACAAAGAATAAAAGAAAAAAGTAGAATATGATGTATGTCTGTTGATGACAAGTGTTGTGGTGAGTAAGCTTGACTGGGCTCCTTGCTTCTAGAAACAGAGCCCAAGGAGGGAAGGACACGGGCGCCCAGCACCTTGACTAAGTGGTGGAAACCCTAACACCCCCCACCCCCCACCCCCTGTGATGGTGTAGGAGGCGGGGCCCTTGGGAGGTGATTAGTCATGAGGGTAGAGCCCCCATCAATGGGATTCGTGGCCTTGGAAAAGACACGGCAGACAGCTCCCTCACTCCTTCCCGAGGCAGGGCACGGACCAGAAGCCCGTGACCAGGAAGAGGGCTCTCCTCCCGCCATGCTGGCCCCGATCTCAGACTTCCAGCCTCAGGAATGGTGAGAAATACATTGCTGCTTCTCATAAGGCGCCCATCTGTGGTCTCCCCAGACACCTGGGGAGCTGTCCCACCCCAGGGGAGACTGACGAGACGTGGAAATTAAATGTAATATGGTTTCCTGGACGGGATCCGGGAAGAGCAGAAGGACAGCGGTGGAAAACCTGTTAAAACACAAATAAACCTGCACCATATGGATGTTCACTTCTTTGTTTCGATAAATATGCTGTGGCAACCTAAGATGTTTATGTCACAGGAACTCCCTGCACTGTTTTTACTACTTTTCCATGTATCTCGAGTTGTTGCGAAATAAAAAGCTGTTTTCTTTAGGAAAAGGTTAAGGAAGTATAAAGGGAACGCAGAGGAAGGGATAGGAATGGGATTGGGTTGTAAAGGCAGAAGCTGAAGGCCAGTGAAGGAAGAACATGGGGTGCCAAGAGAGACAGTTGGGGAGATCTTCTGCAGCCAGGGGTCCAGAGGGAGCTCTGAGGTGGTGGCATTGAAGCCGAGATCTGAGGGACCAGCAGGACTGAACTGGGCAAAGATTATGAGCAAGACTCAGATGGGGGAGAGTGTGTCCTGCTCACGGAACTGAAAGAGCCTGCTCCGTCGCTAATCCAACTACAGCCTCCTCGATTGTACTAAGAGCTGAGCATTCATTGTTTGCCTGGGGGTGGGGGGAGGGGAGGGAAGAGATGAGAGGTGGGCTGGGACACGTGGGCCTGAGCCTCTGCTCCCCGGTGTGCTGAGCGAGGTGCTCATGAGCTGACCCACAGTGTGTCCATTCGTCCCTTGCACCGTGGAAATGGTTGTAATGATGCCCCATCAATCAGGGTTCTTGAAGGCTGGGAGCAAACCAGGCAAAGGGAAGAAGCTTTGACCTTATAGCAGCGTTTCTCAAACCTAACTTGGGGAGCTTGTTAAAAATTCATATTCCCGGCCCCACCCAAGGAACGAAAACATTTGAGGCTGGGTCTTGAACAAGCCCCCTTCAGATTCAGACGCACACGCAGAGTCTGTGTCTCCAGTGCTTGGGGTGCACGGCCGTGCAGGGCTATCCTCCTGGGCCCCCTCCTCCCTGCAGCTGCCACCGACCCACACTCAGGGCCTGAAGACCCTCATCGTCCAGGGGCTCATGGGCCTGGACGCTCTTTGCTTTCAGGTGTTTTTCCAGCTAATTCTTGCAGGGCAACCCCCAGGTAAAAAATACACAAAACCTGGGTGTACCTTGGAGCTATGCCCACTCTGAGAGCTCAGAGAGCCCCTCCTCAGGACTCTGCTCAGAGGTCCCTGCCCGGGGAGCCGTCCTGACTCCCCCAGCCCAGCCCTGGGATCCCAGCTCCCCTCTGCCTCCCTCTAGCACTTCCCACACCATAGGTAGCATCTTTCTATGTGCCTGTGTCTCTCAAAGACCATGAAGTCTGTGAGGGCCCTGAGTCGTCTCTACACCCCAGGGCCTGGCACAGGGCTTGGCCCACAGTGGACTCTCGGATGAATGAATGAGGGCACGGCCAGCTGGCTCCAGAGGATTCTATTCCTCTGCGAGTCCTCAGGTCACTGCCCGAGACTTCTCTATTCCTGGGGCGGGACCCCCCACCACACACCTGCAGGTGGGGTTGCTGATAACATACAGGACACCCAGCTAAATGAGAACTCCAGGTAATAAATCACTTTTTAGTAGAAGGATAGCCCAGGCATTGTGAGGCATTTTTGCTTGCTAATTCTGGCAGCTCTATGTGCAGGGAGCCAGGATGAGCGAGAAGAGCACCCCCGTTGGACAGAAGCCAACAGTCTCACTGCAGAGATGGGGGAAGCGACAGTTACGGGGACCGCAAGGGGAGAGGAGGGGGACACATCTGGGCTAGTCAGAGGAAGGTCGGTTCCACCAGAAAGGACCACGGGAGGCCTCCTGCCACATGATGTGCAGCCCAAAGTGTAACAAAGGTGTTGATTCACCCATGATTGCATCAAACCAAAGCCTGAG